CTGCACTGGATGTATGGCAGAGATGCGGCGAGGCTGAATGGGTCAGAGGTGTTTAAGAGCTAAAGGTCAGGGATGAATCCACACTTTAGAGCTGGCTTCTGAGCCGGTCATCATGAATCCTCAGCACACACACACACACACAGACACGTAAGCGGCTCTGATTGGCTCTATTGTTATCATTCCTAGTTTTCCTTTCTTTAATTGACTCATCTTTTATACTGCATATTAATAAATTATTCTGAGATTCTTGATCGGATGAGAAACATTTCAAGCCATTGCTAAATAACCAACACGGCACATCAGTTTAACCCCAAATCTGCGTGAACTTCTTTCTTCACTGAATCACAGAAACAAAGAAAACCAATGAAAATCAGTGTGTTCTGCTGTTGTTTGGACCTCAGTGTTCTCAAAAATCATCTGTTGTATTTCACTGAAGAAAGTAAGGGGCACACATCTGGAATGACATGAATGAGGAGAGAATAACAGTGTTGATTTTTTTGGGTGAAGTATCCCTTGAACAGATTATTGTTATAACATTTATGAAGTTCTATTAAATCCCATCAGTGACTAATAAGATCTAATAAGAAGCAATAGAAACACACTGAAGGACATGCGCTGCGGCGTCACACATACACGCTCAGATTTTAAAAAAATTCTATGCCAATTATCACAGCTAATTTTTATGCAAATTACAGGGCCAGAGTGCATTTCTTTGCTAATGAATTGGCTTGTAACAGAGTAAATGTAATCGTACGGCCCTGTGGGGCATCTTGGGGTTTGTGGCGACGGTATCTGAGCTCAGAGGATGTGTAGAAACATGAGATGCTGAGGGTGGTTCCATGAACTGTATCTTATTAACTGGCATATTTTAAAAATAAGTTTTTTAATATAATTTATTATACAGAAACATCATGTAATATGACACTGGAGTGTTCGCCCTCTGGTGAGACACCAGCCACTGCTTGGGTACTTTTGAAAACATATGATATTCAGTTCTTCAAGTAATTACTTCATTAATAGACTAAAACTGAAGTTACATTGGAGTCTATAAACAGCTCAGGTTTCCCGGTGGGATCTCTGTGTTGTGTTGGTGAATTGTTGGCACAGTGTGCTCTCAGAAGTGCTTTCTGTGTGTGTTTGAATGGACGACCATCATCAGCAGCTTCAGTAGTGTGCTTCCGCATCTCTCTTAATGTGTGCTTTATGAGCCTCTGCCTCATCACTGATAACTACAGACCCGCTGGATCAGACGAGAGCTGTTGTGAATGTGTTGTATTGTAGATGGTGAACCGAGGAAAACGTGCCTGTGACTAAACTAATCTGTGCGTGAATACAGATGTACAGAGTCTTGCCTGCGGTCAGCGGATGTTTATCATGCGGATTGAGCGAAGCAACACTGGGGCGGATTATGTAAAAACAGCAGCGAGTGAGAGAGAGATGATCTGGTACAGCTCATTATTGCTGTAAATGTTCAGACGAGACACACGAGCGTCTCCCCGCACCGCTGTCTTACCATGATAATCATTGCTGCAGGAGAAAAGACTGCCAACAGGTCACAGAACTGGACTCTGCAGCCCATCGAGTCTGGTCTAGATCACACTCTTCTCTCACTCCTCCTCCTGCTCCTAGGAGGATGTTTCAGAGGATTTTGCCCATGTTTTTATTATTATTAAAAAAAAAACACACATTTTGGATGTCTCTCTTATCTGACCCATGCATTTCAGGTCTTGGAGTCTCTGTTAACTGATGCGTGAAGTGATGAGGAAGAGTTTGAAAGTGTGCAGTGTTGGTGTGCCTCCAGGAACAGGGTTGACCAAAGCACTAATGATGGCAAACACCACTCATTACAAACGTCCAGTCTGGACAGCAGTAAACGGGTCAGCGGGACTTGGTTTTTGGTTACAGTGGGACTGATCAGTCTCTGACCTGATTGAAATCACACACTACCCTCTGTTTGCACACCATCACTTTAAGAACATTACATGATAGTAATTATTCACAGGCCAAGCTCAGCTTTAGACAAGTCTGTGTGAAAGCCAATTAACAATTTAGCTTTATTTTCACTGGAAATATTTACTGAAGCGCTAAGTGTATCGTAACAGTGAGCTCATCTGATCCTCTCTGATGTGTTCTTCAAAACGCAGCTTCCTCGCAGAGCGTGTGCTGTCTTATGAAACCAGGTTCAGATAGCAAACCGTGGGTCAGCAGGAGCTGTAGCGCGGTGATGCTGGTGGACACACGGACGCACCCGGCCCTGTGAGCGTCAGGTCAGCTCCCTGACGAACAGAGAGGATTGAGTTGAGTGCTTCAGCGCAGGAAAGCTGTTTCTGTTGCTCCTACCTCACGCTCTTTCCACACCGGCCCGTTTCCATCCCTCGCTCACATTCCTTCTTTATTGCTGGAAAAAGGAGCGTCCCGTATTCGGATGGCATCAGCACATGTCGCATATCCAGGCTTAACCCAGGGTTCAGGTGATGGAGAGGCGCTGGGGAGGTGTTTTCACCGCATGCCTAATGCCAGCCGCCCCGCTGCGTCACATGGGTTAATTGACTGTTTTGTGAGGTTGCATGATTACATTGTCCCATGGTGCCATGACCCGGCCCAGCTAAAGCAGTCACCGATGACTGAGATTCATTACTGTGTTATTGCACATTCGCTGTGGCCGACACGATGACCCCTGTGCTTGAGACATTAAACATGAGCAGGGGCGCAGGGATTGTGTGTTAGGTGAGTAGTTGGGTCATGTTCTCCAGCGTTGTCCAGGATGCGTTTGATCTAGAGATGTGATGTGGCTCCATCACCATACAACGACATTTCACTGAAGGCAAAGCTGCCCAATCTGATGCTGCTCAAATGGAAACCAGGTGAGTCCAGTTCAGTAGTGTTTGGAGCGGAGCTCCTCTGTGCTTTAAACTTTCACTGATCAGTAAACACTCTAGTAGGGTTAGGCAGACTCTGAAGACAATCTGTTGAGTCTGACGTCTGAGATATCATACATTTGCTCTATCCATTCTGTCAGATTTAGCATGATCCACACCCTGTGACACGCACATACTCATTTCAGTCATTTTCGGTCCAGACTCGTTTCATTTGGTCGGCTGTGATTAAATGGAGTGATGCTGAATCATCTATTAGCTGCTGAATAACGCTGAGAGACAACGGCTTTATAATGATCAGCTGAAGCACTAACCTTCTCTTCCCCTTTGCTGGCACTATATTAATAATGCAAGCAGAAGGACACCCATCAGAGCCGATGCTAATGGCCTTGATCTGGACGTAACGCTGACTTCCTTACAGTTATAAGCGTGTGCACAGGCTCTCTTTCACTCAGTCACTATGTTTAAGTCTCTTTATGGCTTTGCTAATCATGTCTGTGCATGTGAAGCAGCGTCCAGCAGAGCCGCTCGGGTTCGATTCGGGATCATGAAATGATGGGCCGAAACTTGAGTGGTCCCAACCAGGTGGTGATGCTCAAAATCATCATTGTGAAGTCTCTCACGGTGCAAGAAAGCATGGAAGATTGATCACCCGATGAGGCAGCTTTAATTATTGGCTGCTCTGGAGAACACATGGAGGCTGAGCTACTGTAGAGTTTATCTCAGACCTTTGCCTGAACTGGTTCCCATTTGTGGACTGAAGGACACGTGTCATTCATTATAGTTCTCTGAAGAACAGTCCAGTGTCAAGCGCTGTGCATAAATCTAGTGAGCTGCTCACTACACTTACAGGTCAAGGTCTGTATTACAGAAACATCCCAGCTCAGAATCCTGTCCTATCGGTTTAGAAACTATGGTCGCTTTAGAGCAAATCCTAAGCCATTTTCTATTCAATACAAATAACTGCTGGCATTTAATTCTCTGTATTGCACATCTTTATGTGATAAGCACAGGGCCTAAAATTAACACTCGCCAAGTGCCAAATGCGAGTAAAAATCAGCGTTGGCGAGTATATGTAAGTGTCAGTCGCCAGTTGGCGGGTACAGCTTTTACGAATTGTAACAATGCAATGAAGTAAAAACAACAGCCAGTTTTAAAAGAGATTCGCTGTTTCTGACATAAGCGAATAAAATAATCTTTTCCGAAGACAAGATCATCGTGGTTAGCTGTTCTGTCATAAGCGACAAGAGCGAATCGAATAATAGAATACAAACGGGCTGATAAGGTCAGAGCTGATGGCCAGCTTGTCCCTAGACACAGTTCTAATAACTTTTACCTGAGAAGATTTTGCTGCTTCATTTCGGAAGATTAACTTTTCCCTTCTTTATTATTCATAACCCGAGAATGCGGCGACACATAGGCTATCTGGGGTTACGGCGCCTAAACGGTGCAGTGAAGTATAGTTTGAAAGGCTGCGCGTTCGGCTGTACACAGACGCTGAGCCGCTTCAGACAGCGCGCCAGTAGCACTTCAACGCACGAAAAAACACAATTATGTCAAAATGTGCGGTTTTGGCTAGTTACCTTGTAAACGTAGTCTTAAATGAGTTATAAAGTCTTAA